GCGCGTCCCGGGGCGGCCGGCGGCCCCCGCGGAGGAGCGTTACCTGGCGAGGTGTTTCACCGGGCTGCGCCGAGCCGGAGGCGCGGGAGAGGGGCCGGGCTCCGCGCCGCCCCGCCGGGCGCTCCCGGGGCCGGGACTTCGAGGTGTCTCGGCACGGCGGGCAGCGCCCCGGACGCGGCGATGCGGCTGGATGTCGCACGCCGCGGGCTGCAGACATCCACCTGTAACGCCTCCGAGGCGAGGTGAAGGGGGTCAGATCACCCTCCTCTCTCTCAGCCCGGTCACTCGCACCCCCTGCGAAACGTCTCCCGCGCCTCTCAAGCGCTTTGCGTTTAGCGCCGCCGGATCGGAACTTGAGGAACTTACTGAAAATCGGTGGCAGAGGCAGTCGCTGAAATCCAGACCTTACGCTCCAGTCCAGAGGGCACGGTGAACCTGACGGAAATTACTCGTATGCTTAAGAATTAAGCGCATATACGCTCTGTGGAGGATCAGGATCTCATTTCTGCTGCGCTTCAGTTCCTCATCTGCACGACGAGGATAATAATACTTCCTTTCTCACATCCTATCTTTATCTGTGCTCTCATATCACAAAAAATTCAGGCATAACTTTATGCATGTGAGTAATCTCATTGACTTAAAGGGACAACTCAGAGCTGCAAAGTCAAGTAAGCATGTAAGCATTGGAAAGATCAGGGCCTTGTAAGACAAGCTCTTTGGAACAGAAATCGCCCATGGCTCACTAAAAGTTTATACTGTACAACAGTTCTCAATTTTTTGATTTTTCTCACTGCATCTTTACAGAGATGCAGAACCCTTCTTTTACTACAACTTGTAAGCAGACTTTATGGATCTGATAGGGCTGAAACCCAAAGCCACATTCTCCTCTTATGTATTCCAGAATACCCCCCTTCATCTTCCAGCATGTTTGCATGCAGGAAAACGAGCATTTGATCAGTAGAATCACACCCCGCCATTAAAAAGAAAGAAAGAAAGAAAAAAAAATCCAGAAGAAAATCCACAAAAAGGTGCCACCATATGCTTAGCAGTTAGTACCTTTCTCCAGGAAATCCCCAAGAGCTCTGCCTCAGAGAGACTGGGAAATACAGGCAGGGAGAGCTTCACCAACCACCCTCTTGAAAAGCGGAAGCTGGTTAACTCAAGGAAACGCAGCAACTTTCCACAGATACGTGCGTCTGGATATTTTGAAGTAAAAGGACCGACATTCCACTAAGGAACAGCGCCTTCAAGAGCTGTTTGCTGCTCTCCTGTGCTCCAGGCTGCTGCAGGGCCTGCAGGCCAGCGGCTCTGAGCATGTTCCAGCCTACCGGGGGGGAGCGGATTTGGCAAGTATTTTTAAAGGCAGATTTCACACTGTGCAAGACACGATTTCTCATTAAACATTCGGTAAGAGTTTTAAGGCAAGAATCAAGTTGCCGGACGTGTGTGAGCTGAGCCTGCTGAAGTCAAATCTTGCGAGATGTTAAGCATCCTCCACAACTACTGTGCTTACGTTTGTTAACAGCTCATAGGAGCTCTCAGGACTTAGAAGATGTTGTGAAGACCCTTTTAGGGCTGACGCCCTTGAGAATTACTAGCAGTATAGTCACAGCAGCACCGAGCTCACTGCTGGCAGCCTGCTCTCATGTACAGCAAGTCTCTTGCTGGGATAGCAACAGTGGGTAGTCTGAAGAGACCTCCACCGTCCCAGTGATGCTTACCAAGGCTAGAGCTACTTCAAGCAGATCCGTTAAGGGGTAGTTGCAGATATACACTTAGGCACTTGCCTGAGGAGCCAGATTCTACAATCCTTTTCTTGCAGTATTTCCACTGACATTACTGGGAATTCTGGATGAGGCAAAGTGGGTTGTAAATGATGTAAGATAGAGCAATATATAGCAAAAAAACCGAAGCAACCTTACAGGTGTCTAATTCATTGCCAGCTAAACCTTATCTCAGACTAAATCTACTAAAGAAACTTTTCCATTGCTGTTGGGTTTCCTGTGGGAAGCATCTAACGAGGCTGCACGGTGAACAGTTTCCTTCAGATTCGTTCTTAAATACAAACAGTAATTGCTATTGCAGGAGGTACAGTGTTGCTACTGCTAAGTATCACCATTTCCCATTTATTACTTTCCTACAGCAGTCTTACCAGCCTGCGTTCTCAAAACGGACAGCATGCCACATTCATGCTGCTTCAGGCCATTACCAGGCAGGTGATGATCATTAAATACAAAAATACAACAGAAAAGTTCTGCAAATTGAGAATGAACAAAAAAGTTTTAAGGACAGAGCATGCACATTTGCTGCAACAGCTAGAGTGCACCAGGCAGGTGCTCCCCTTGCCTTTCCACTGTAAGATTTATGTTGTAGTCCCAATTCTTCAGAAAATGGCCTGGGCACAGCATCCAGAGGGTTTGCTGGCAGGATTGTGAACTTGTTGGGTGAATAGTTCTCATTCAGTTTGGAAAACAGAAGTTCTGATGAAGATGAAGATGGTGAAGATTTATCACCTGAAGAGGGGTAAATTTCCAGAGGCACAGAAGGGTAATGGATGTTGGTTTGTACAGCCAGAAATCTCCCCCGAACCATGATTTCTAATATAATACTAAGTGTGACCAGCTTTGTTTCACAATCCTTACCGTACCTAGCCCCCCCGCCCCGAGAAACCCCCCACAGTGCTATTTTGCTCTCAGATGGCTCTTCATACTTTGCAGTGCCAGAAGTGCTTAAGAAAATATCATGGACCTCACACTAAACAGTTGATCGGCAGCTATTTGAATACAGCATAGGAAATACAGATCGCTGTTCCCATTCCATATAACGCCTAACGTTTAATAGATCTTCCTTTGTTTATAATCATTGATCCATTAAACTGTAGTCTCAGATTTTTTAACTTCTGAAAAGAACTCTGTCACCTTTTACAAAGCTCTAATGCTTTTACCTCAAAAGCATCTCAAAGTTCCATGGTTTCCTCTCCTAATACATCATGGGAAATACCACCTGTGCTACTGACATACAAATACAAAATAGCACCACCAAATTCTTCTTTCTTTCCCATCAATCTGTTCATGTCATTTTCCTCTTTGCATTGCTGTGCTGACTTCTCAGCCACTGCTGCAACATATTTATTACTCACCTCTCCCCTAACTTGTCTTACATTGGCTTCCCACTGTCCTTTACTTGATCTCTCCCATCATTCTCATTTCTCATTTACATATAAGCATTTCAGGCAATTGCCTCTAGGCTTTTTTCCCACATAACTTTTCTTCACTGACTGACCTCCATGAACTCAACTACAAGTCCCTTACTCTCTCCAGTTGGTGTATTTTCCACTGACTTCTACTGTTTTTGAATCACCTGTGTACAAGTAGAAAGCCCCACTTGTTGTTTTCTATACCTCAGCCTCTCATTTCTTTCTTTGTGAGCTTCTTATCTAGAGGCCAGAGAAACTCTTAGTGCCTTATGGACACTACCACAAACACAAGATAAATAATTGTTGTAATAATGCAAGGAAATGTGGATGACAGCTGATCAGATATGTGAGATTTTAATCTGTATGTACGTGAAAGGAGAGAAAAATCAACCGTTTTTCATCAGTGGCGTTGTTAACTTCTTTCCATTTTAGGAATAGTAGCAAAGAGAGGGGTTTTGTTTTTTTAAAAAAAGGTAGAATAATATTTTACAGTAAAGGAATGTAATAGGCTGAATATGACTGCAGACATTTTTTGGCATCAAGGACAGGTACATATTGTATGACTGGTGACTGACTGACTGAAGTGGAATCATGAAGTTGAATGACATTCACTATTCAGCAAGGAGCATCTCAAATTTTTATGTACTTACAATTTTAGTGGAATTAAACACTCTGGTTACGGGTGTACACATGCACACATGCACAAAACACTTGGGAAGGGGCGTACAAAAGACATCATCAGTCCCACACACTGTATCCTATCACTGGTTGAAAAGCCCCCCTTGTAAAACTTGCTGCTTATAGTCACATCTGGACCAATGCTAAACACAGACCCAGGACACTCACATCCAGCCTGTTATCTCCTTGTTTTGCTGGCTGATCTCTGGCATTTTTGCTCAGACAGCTCCGGTAACCTGGAGAACTTGTCGGTGAAACAACTGGCCTAAGGGGGTCTGCCTACAGGACAAGTGCAGTGGAGATAGGAACCAGTCACACCACCACTCCATTTCATAGGGTAGACACGCTGTAATTATTGCTAGTTATGTTTAGGTAGTGCACAGAGGTGCTAGTTAATAGGTGTCACTTTACCACAAGCTGTTCCAAGGAATTTGCTGTCTTCTCAGGCAACATGGATTGCCTAGACTATCTAGCAAAATGGGACATTCTTGATTACAGGCTAATCAGTCTTCTCAAGGACAGTAATACCCGTGTGTCAGGGGAGGCAGGAAGGACACAATTTCCTTCTACAGTAAGAAAGTTCTGTCTAGAGAAGACTACGGTGCTACTGTCAGCAACAGCAGCCTCAGGTAGGATACAACTCAAGAGTTGCAGGAACCACACTTCCTCCTTAGAAGACTGCCCAGCAGTTACTCTCCATATAAAAACATGGCATGTAGGATTTAGTCTAATGTAACTAAAACCAAAATTCTGGCTCTCTGTTCTGAAATACCCCTTATGGCCTACGGAAAAAAGTTTTGCTGCTTCAGCTATTTTAAATGATAGGTCTAGTTTATGCTTCTTTTCTGTAGCTATTTTTACATAGAATATACAAAAAATTCAACTGCCAGTTACATCTGGAGACAGCTACCAAAGTGCAGTGGTTACTCTAGATTTCCAAAGTTAAAAGTGAGAACAGAAATGCTTTAGTCAGAGCTGCAAATTTAAAGTTAATTGATATTTCTCTTACTTAAAATGCCTGAGAACAGGACCGCAATCATTTTTGTACTAATACATACCCGTAAGATTTCTGGAATGTTTTGGTCAGACATGAGGGAAAATATGCTGAGTCCAGCACAGGGCAACAAAGACAATGAAGGGACTGGAGCATCAATTCTATGAGGAAAGGCTGAGAGAGCTGGGACTATTCAGCCTGGAGAAGAGAAGGCTTGAGAGGATCTTACCAATGTCTAAATACTTGATGGGAAGGAAGAAGAGGGAGCCAGGCTCTTCGCAGTGGTGCTCACTGATAGGACAAGAGACAATGGGCAAAGGAAATTTCACCTGAACACAAGAAAGTACTTTTTTTACTGTGAAGAGTGTTCAAACACTGGAACAGGTTTACCAGAGAGTCCGTGGAGTCTGCATCTCTGGAGATATTCAAAACCCAGCTGGACGTGGTCCTGGGCAACTAGCTCTGGCTGACCCTGCTTGAGCAAGGGGGGTTGGACAAAATGATCTCAAGAGCCTGTGATTAGAAAAAGGCAATAATCTGCTTTTCAGAGATCATTAAATCTACATACAAATTTAAAGAGACAAATGTCCTGTCATGTTAGTTCACCTGTTACTGATCCCTTCCAAATCTGTGAATTCATAAAGTATAGCTATAGCTGTACTTCAGTTAAAATTTCTCAAGTCATTTTCTTTTTGGAAAATAGGGGTAAAACTTTTCTAAGTATACAAAAGGGGCTGAGCTAAGAAGGATGATCATACTTCCCTTGTGCTACCCATTGCATCTGAGGTTCAAAGAATTTTTCTTTTTTCTTTTTTTTTTCCCCCACACATATTATCTCACAGAGGTGCTAGGGCTGTCTATCTACAGGGTGAAGATCACAGTGGTTAGGACCTAATCTACCCAGGCAGAGAGGAAGATGTCCCTGAGTCTAGTCAGATACTGGATCTATTCCAAGATCAACATTGTTAATCAGGCATTTCTCCACTAATAGAGTTGTGTAAGAGCTGACAAGTGTTCCTCTTGAGAGACTACTGCCAAAATTAATTCTACCTGAGAAGGTAGCTGGAAATAGGAAAAAGATAAAAGTCCTTTTTTGTATGGCCTTAATCTTGACTTAATAAGATAAGGAAGACATTAGAAATTCAGAATGATAGTTGACTGGCAGATGGATAGTTCATACTCTTCCTCTCTACTCTTATGATTTCTCCCTAAAAATTCATATGGACAGATTAAAAAACTTGAAAGTAGGTGTCTGATTTTCTGGCAAAGGTGAAATGAAACAAGTCTGCTGTCATTTCGATGCTGTCTATTAAAAAGCAGGAAGCAATGGAGAGTTGTGTTAATAAACCAATGTATTGGTCATAAAGGTTTGCTTTTTCATTTTCATTTAAATCCATCTCTTAAAGTCTCTTGGCCATTTTTTCAAATCATAAAGCTCTAATGAAGTTGGATCAGAAAGATTCAGAAGTATGTTACACTCGATTTTCAGAAAGAGTAAACTACTAATAATACTGCTAATACTTGAAGGATTGATCCAACTTCACTGCTCATGAAAACTTCAGTAACAAGTCCTGATTTTTCCAAGTTAATTTATTGCTGATAATTATTCAGTGAAGATCTCTGAACACTTGCATTGCATGGTGGTTCAACATTCAACTGTTTTATTTCATTATGTGAATTATATGCTGTTGTTTCTGAAATGCCAGTAAGTGGCAAGCATATACACAATCTAGTGAATCTAGTATTCATTCTGTGAGAGATTTGCTTTCACTGAACTTTTCGATTAATAAAATTCAATTCAGCCTTACAATAAGTACACTCATTTGGCCCTAGAAAACAACACCGGTGTCTATGAGGTCTGCCATCTTCTACAGGCCCACCTTGCTCAGGAGGCTGTCCATTAAGATCCCTGTATATAGTTAGTGATGAATTATAACTTCTGATACTTGCTGCATACATGTGCCAAATACCCTGAGTCTGGAGAAACAAACCCATTTTAAGTAAACTATATTCCTTATCTTTGTGCCTTCCTATTCCAATGTATTTCAATATAGCTGAGAGTGTACATCTCCCCTCTGGATTATCTTATTTACAGTTAATGATGATGGGTATGTGGTCAGATTGCCTTTGTGGTCAGTGTGATCTCTGTCACTTGTTGGAAAACTGTTTTGTTTAACAGCAGTTAATACTTTCTGTTAAGGAATCCAAGGGGGAGCTTTCTTCTATAACAAACAGAGCAATAAAACAAGCTCTGGAGATTAGTGCTGCAGTTTACAAGCAAGTGGCTTGGACAGTGTTTGCTGTGCAGTTTTTGAGTGGTGCAGGAGGGTGGGGAATGGGGGTGGTGGTCAGTTCATAACACTTCATCTCTGCTGCTCCTTCCTTCTCACACTGTTCCCCTGCTCCAGTGAGGGGTCCCTCCCATGGGATACAGTCCTTCATGAACTGCTCCAGCATGGTTCCTTCCCATGGGCTGCAGTCTTTCAGGAACTGACTACTCCAGCTTGGGTCCCCCATGGGGTCACAGTTCCTGCCAGAAAACCTGCTCCTGCATGGTCTCCTCTCCATGGACTGCAGTATCTGTCAGGAGCCTGCTCCAGCATGGGCTCTCCACGAGGTGCAGCCTTCTTCCAGGCACATCCACCTACGGTGGCATAGGGTCCTCCATGGTTTGCAGGGTGTATATCTGCTTCACTGAGGTCCTCCATGGGCCTCAGGGGGACAACCTGCTTGACCATGGTCTTCTCCATGGGCTGCAGGGAAATTTCTGTTCCAGTGCTTGGAGCACCTCCTCCTCATTCTTCACTGGCCTTGGTGTCTGCAGGGCTGTTTGTCTCACATTTGCTCACAGCTGCTGTGCAGCATTTTCTACCCTTTCTTAAATATGTTATCACAGAGGTGCCACCAGCATCACTGATGGGCTCAGCTTTGGCCAGTAGCAGGTCTGTATTTGAGCTGGCTGGAACTGGTTCTGTCCAACATGGGGCAGCTCACAGAAGACATCCCTGCAGCTCCCCTCCCTACCAAAACCTTGCCATGTAAACCCAATGAGCTGGAAGACAAATAGCCACACTGATGCTAGCTTCAAGATTCCAGCATGGCTGTCTGACTCCCAGTGTAGAGCTGCTTACTCTCCCATAGGTAGGGAACATCATGTCTCTGCTTTTCATCCAGGTGCAGGCATGCCCATTTGGCAGGTGAGCAGCTTTTTATAACTTGGGCATCTAAAAAGCTGTACTTCAGATTATTTTTATTATTTGCATTACCTGAAAACAAGCAGATGCCACTCAGGGTCTAGGACTCCATCATGTGTGGCAGTGTGCAAACAGTTCATGAACTGTTTTTCTATTTAACTATTTAATCAGACAACGGATAACCAACAGCTACACACAGGTCAGGGAACTCAAGGAAACCGTGAGATATTACCAGGCAAATCGGTAGGTATGGGCTTGAGGCACAACATCATTGCCATTGTTAACAAGTTTTGTAGGGATAACAGCTACGAACAGGTTCAAGGGAGAAAATGAAGTAGCTGGGATGGTATGTACAGACACATCCTTCCCAGCCCCACAAGTAACCAGAGAAAGTGCCGATTTGAAAAGAGAGCGAGCAGGCTGGGGAGAGCCATCAGAGATACAAGAGCTTCCCAGCAGATGTACAGTAAGTCTTAGGCTAAACTGAGGATGGAGAGCCAGGAGTAGATACAAACTCCCAAACCATGTGCTAAGGCAATTATGTTTCCAGCATTTTGAATGGACATGGACAGGACAGCGCAGGCTTGTCTCTGACAAGGGTGAGAGACAAGGCGAAAGGTGACAGAGACACAAGGTGATGAGAATTTAAACATGAATTTCAGCTACGGGCAGGCTTAGGAAGGGCCCCACCTGGGCAAAGTCATGCAGAAAGGATGCACGGCTTTCAGGCGTATTCTTTAGAGGAGGAGACAATAGAGGCGGTTTGAAGGGAGGGCGATGTTATTTATTCTGGTCTGAAGCAACATGTATTATACATTGTTACTATGGAGTTGATCATGTCAAGAATACGTATTAACTGTGTAGCCGACACAGCTTTTCTTTGTCCCGTGCCTGCCCCTTCCCTGGGTGTGTCCTTCATAGCCAGCGCCTCAGGAGACTCAAGATGGAGACCGGTAATATTAGGGTGAAATTAGCCATAAAGAAAACATTTAAATAAAAATGATTAACCCAGTGTTAGAGCTATTATGGGACAGAAAAGAAATGTCAGAGAAAAAAAATGTGTACCACGACTGCCCCATTATGCTATAATTAGTTTATCTTTGTATAATTTATGGTTAGCTCTATGTCAATGAATTCCAGCAAGAAGAAACCCCTGGCCTGTGGCGAGGCTGAAAGAGAGGAGCTGGTGATGCCTGGATTACGCAGAATTTTTGAAGGTATTCTGGGAATTCAGATGCGCTCTGTCTTCAGAAATTGAAAGGAAACAGCTCCTTCTTGTACAAGTTCATTGACATTGAACTAATTACAAGCTAGGCACCTAAATATCTTCAGACACATATGCTTAGATTTCCAAGTTTGCCTTGGTACAGGTAAATACTTTTAGGAGGAATTTGGAGGACTTCTCACTGCTTATATTATATAATCAGCCTAGTGGCTCTTGATAGGCATCAGCTGAGTTTAATGAAAAGTATTATTTATCTCAAGGGAGGTGAACAATTATTCTTTTTCTGGTTCTCTAACTCCTTCTTCCCTTTAGAGACTAATATTTGACTAGAAAAATAATCATTAAGAGAGTTTATGCTGTTAGATGGGAATCTAGCCCAGTTACCTGACTTAATGACATAAACATGCAGTAATATGTATATATTGATGCCTTGAAGTGAATATCAGGATGTTTTGTCCTGCAAGGTAAATATTGATCAACATGTACAGTGTATTTTCCCTTTGGATCAATATGCCTGTTTCTTCTTAAATCAATAAGTACTTATTCTTACATAGAGGAAAAGTTTGGCTCATAATTGGATAAAAGTGGGTATATAGTAAATGAGAACATTTTTCTTGCTTACGTCCAACAGTTGTGGGGTTCAGGGTTTTAACAAAAAGTCAGACTGAACACGTAGAATGCTGCATATGAGGTTCAGAAAATACTATCACTCACATCTGCTGAGCTAATATAATAAACATCCACATATATGACCCAGTTTTCTAATCAGAGAACAATGCTGCTTGCTGAACTCAGCAGAAGCAGTCAATATTCCACATACATCTCTCTGCTTTTGGGTTATTTTTAACTTCTTGGAGTATTTCTTTGTGTGT